TAATCGACGTGCTTTCCAAAGGATGCTGTTCAGGGAACCACTCGGCGCCCCTAGTGTCCTTGTACATGGTATCAGAAGAACATAAAGCTCCTAAAGTTCAGGGTTTTTTAGGGGAGTTTAGCAATGGTGTGAAGAACACGTGATCCATCTTGGCCATAGTCTACTGTCTCAGCATTGGTTTAACTGTTAGGCTTTTTCTTGCTGTTTCTATTGCACAGTCATACTGCTTGTGATTGCACCTGCAGGTGTGCACCTGCGTGCGAGCCACGCATTTACATCTTCAGGGGAGTGGAGAACAGTTTAATAACCACTCCCATTTAAATGCAGGATAGATATTTTACATGCCCATACAGGCCTTTGGCTTGGTTTGTTATTCACCCTTTGTCTTTTTGCTTAAATTCCGAGTTGTCATGTGCATTTTCTGTAGGTATTGAACACTCCTCATAAACATGTATCTTCATTTCTGAGTTAATTTACACTGTTTCTGCTGATCAGATCTAATTTAAAGGGTGAAGCTGAGGAAGGGACATCCACTTGGAACAAACATTTGAAACAACTAACAAAGTGGATAGAGAAGGTTCTTGGTGTGAATTGCAATGGTTTAATTGACAAAAATGGAGCCACGCCAGTTTTCACCAGCTGAAGATCAGACATGTTGCTTCTACATCAGATTGCATGCTGCTGAGAGCTGCTAGGTTTAGGACTATTAGTATTGCATAGAATTACACATCCATACTAGTCTTTTTGCTCTGTCTTTATTTATGTGTCTAGTTCTGTTTGCTGGTTTCTTTCTGTGAACTTGGCAGCACCAAGGATAAAAATGCTGTTAAGAAGCAAAGTTAGGATTAAAAGAAGATCAATGTTACTGTCACTACATTCCTCCTGAAGCCAAGAAGACTAGGTAGCAGAAGAAGAAAGTCAGTGGCTATGGCAACTTAAGGCACATCTCCTCAGAGCAGCAATTATTGTTCAGTGATCATTTCCATGAACGGTTGGAAGCTGGTGCCACATGGGTTAAACCGTATAGCCGTACACAGTATAAAAATGAACAAAACCACTTTCCAGTGCTTTGAAAATGGTCTGGCAGTGCACACAGTGCACAGTAGGTGTCTAGTGGTGAGAGATGCTGCCTGCTGTTACACAGGCAGTTCCAGTATTGCTTTGTGATTACAGCACCACCTTCACTGGCCTTTCTATTTCAGGAACGGTTCTGCCCTGGGCTTTATTTAATTCTTGTTTCTCCCCAAATTGGGGTGGATAAGCCTTTCTTTCAAAGGGATATTTTTTTAAGCAAGAAAATGTTAACAATCTGATTTTCATCCTAGCTCTGTGAAGATTAGTATACTGGCACAACAGAAAGCTGAATAGCTGAAGTGCAATGTAGGAGCTGGAAGGAGAGGTTGAGGGTGGGAATCTCATAAACTGGTTCTGTCATGGAAGAAAATGTCATATGCCTAAAGCATGTGGCATGAACAGAGAGGCAGTGGTCATGGTTATCACCTCTTTATTCACCCTCCCCACTCTGTCCCCTGGTAGCTTTCAAGGGGATTAATGGGTACCTCTAAGTGCAGAGTGCTCAGGACAACCGGCTTACTTGTACACAAATGCCTAAGAAAGAAGTGGGCAGCCTGTTCTTTAGCACTCTGCTGTTCTTCCAGGTATGATCAATAATTTTCAAGAGTTTTAGAGGTGCAGAGGAGAAAAGCTGTAGTGCGTTAGAAGCTATATTTCAGGTAGAGAATTGTCAAAGATGCCAGTGCTTCTGACACATCTGCTACCTGTAGGCTTTTGGTAGCATGTAAGCATGTTTGTGCTTTTGGAAAATCACCTAGTTGTTAGTAGAACTGATCTAAATACTCATGAGAAGTAATGCACTCTGCCAATTTTGACATGTTGGCAAATTGTGAATAAAGATTTTGTTGATTTCTTTAGGTCAGCTCAACAAATATTAACATATCAACATATATATCTTTGGAGACATGAATTATTTATAGCAAGTGTTCAAAAGGTCTGAAAAACAATATTCTTTTGGGGATGTGTGACTGGCCACATGGGTGACATGATATTCTTTCATCCCTAATTGTGTTAGCATTTTAATTGCTTATTCCATCTGATGCTAATTTTGATTCTTGATGAGGTCTCAGTGGCAGCACTAAGTGCATTCTCACTGAGCATTCATCCCTACAAAGCTTCGTTTATGTGAAAGCTTGTGAATAAAGAGGTATGAGCCAGCCAAGTGTCAGTCTGGTTTTGTTATTTGGGCTGCTAGCTGATGAATGCTCATGTACATGTACTTTGGTCAGCTTTAGTCATGACTGGGCTAGAGACTTCAAATCAACTATCTCCCAGCAAACAAATTCAGGTATGAATTCAGTATGAAGGCAACTTCAGTATAAAGTAGCCCGTTTTGGTTGCTCTGGTACTGTGTATATATCCATTGCCTCTGCTGATCAGGTAGAAAAGATACTGAAGAGGTGTGTCATGCACTTTATTTTGAAAATCAAGATATGACTTGTTCTCCAAATGCATCCATTGCATGCCTTCATAAGTTTAAGCCAGCAGCAGCAAGCAACATCAAAAAAGGCAGAGAACTGCAAAGCCCAAGGATGGATATGGCAACCATGCAGCTTAATGAGCAGCTCTGTAGGTCCCATAAAGTGGTGGATTGTGGGACTTGGACAGAGTTTTGCGCTAGCAGAAAGTAACTGGGGAGATCAGTAGGGTGATGGGCAGCACTGGGAAGGGAAGTTACAATTGCCTGCTGACTCTGCATTCATACACAGGGGTGTGGGTTTGTGGTACTTCAGTCAGCTCAGAGCAAAGTAGATATGGGCAGGCTAACTGAAAGCAGATGTACAGGGACAGTTAATCCGCGTTGGTCTAAGACATCAACTTGGCCCAGCTTGCCACACTACTACATCTGTTGAGAGTGTTTAATATGGTGCATAACCAGTATGTCCTTCCAGAGACTTCCTTGTATGTGTTGAACGGTGAACAGAGAATAAGCTATTGTGACTCAGGACTGCAGCTACTGAGGTGCTTCACAGGGAACTTTGACAATACTGTCTCCCTGCTTCTCTTTCTGAGATGTCTGCCTGCAATGCTAAAACACTAGGATCTTAAAAATAAAACCACCAGTTTTGAATCTCTAAAGAAATAAATGAGCAGGTTCTGTTCGGACAATGCTCTCTAGTAAAAATAATTTTCATCAAGCCTACTGTGAATGTTTTCTTGATTGAAATCTTTTACTGGTGGAATAAAAGGTTTGTTGTTCTCAGCCTGGTAGAGAATTTCTAAAATCACTATACAATGACATTCCAGGAAAAGAAATAAACAGGGAAACATTTCATTTCTTACCAAACAATTTAAAACCTAAATGAAAAGCTGTACCTCCACTGACTTACGTTAAGGCTGATATTGATTATGCACTTAGAAAGAAACAGAATACTTCAATGTGGAGAGTAATTTTGAAGGTATGTGCCCATTTCAATGCTTTAAATAAGGCATCTTCCTGGTGCCATCAAGTAGAAATTATAAACAAGTATAAACATTGTGCTGAGAGCCCATCTTGTCTCTCACTAGTGCTGTAGACTGACTGTATGCTTTTTTCAGTGCCTGACAATCGTCACCTCACAGATACGTTGAGCTATATTACATTTTTGTATACACAACCGATGAAACCCTCTGCAGTTCAGAATAAACTGAAATCTTTCCCAGCAACATTTTCTAAGGCTCAAAGTGATTTTATCTTCTTAGGCTTAGACTTATTTATTTTATATTTGTGTTACAATACTATTAAACATTTTATATGTGAATATTCCATTGTTTTGAAGCTGTGAAAATGTTTTGATTTGTCAGATCTAAGCAACAGAACACTAATGGAATCCTGTTGAAAACTGATGCTGTGTGGTTTTGGGAAATTTAACCTCTTTTCAGTCTACAGCAAGATCTTATATCATGAGTTTCTGCAGAATGAAAATTGGAATAACTGGGCTTCTGAGAACTTTTAGTTCCTTGAATGGGATGTGCTACAAACAATGAAAACATCCCTTTTATTGATGACATAGGTATTAGGAAATTAATTTGGTTTATCCTCGATCAGCTTGTCTCTATTTATTTAACACTTCAAACTATCCATCAAAGCAGAGGTTCAAGTGCTAAAATTGTTCTTTCTCTTCAGTAAACTGAACAAAAATACTGTATTTGGGGAAATCTGTTAATCCTTTCTAGAATCTCAAACTTTAGAGATAAGTATTATTTAAAAAAAATCACTTAACTCTAACAGTGCAACAGTTATAATGTGAAAAATGGAAATTCTTAGAAAACTGCTGCACTATTTTGCCTTGGACTCTATGTAGTCTTAGTCAGTTTGTTTAGACAGACTGCTCTGTGGTCAGTGGCAGCAGCTGTTTTGACTGATGACAGAATAAAAATTCTTTTCAAACCCCTAACATCATAAATGATAGAAAGACTATGTTAATGATGAAAATTTGCAAGCGCACGCCTTGATCCTGTGCTCATGGACGACAATGGCAAAGCTCTCATTAACCTTGGTGCTGAAGGATCGAGTTGTTTCCTTTTAACCTCCAAGTGTTTTGTAAGAGCAATTGATCAATCCTGCCATCACCATGTGGTGCAGATGTTAATCTTGGTGTTAGAGATGAATAGACTGAGGTGAATGAATTAATTCAGGTTCCACGGTGATTAGGCGCTGAGGATGGACAGTGCTTGGTTGCTGTACTCTGATCTAATCATCAAGAAACACTCTTCTCCTTTCCTTGACAAGAGATTTTGAAAGGCAGCTTACAAGCTTGGATCAACCAATATTGTGAATTGAAAATATTTTGGCTTATGTATTATAGAAATATATTGGGTATGGTCGGTGTGCAAGCTTACTGGACTCCCAGTATTTAAACAACTTGCTCCTGTTTTACCTAACCTGTGAATGTTTTTCAATCCACAGTTGTCATTTGGCCAACCCTCTCCCTTCAGTAACTTACAACTTTCAATTTCTAGTGTGCAATTTTGTTCATCCAGAGGATATCTGCGTAGATCCATCATGCAAGCAGCTGTTGTTGTGATCCTGTAAGAGAAGGGTGGAAAAAAAAGAGATTTGAAACCACATTTTACTTGTTTGAGAAGGCGAGATTTTCCAGTCTTTTCTGTTTGTTTAAATACAGAATGGTTATGCACATGGATTTCTGGCATACAGGCTTTACGTAGCTTGTAAAGCATGATTAAATAATTTATACAGCACAATATACTGGTTACAGTATAAAGCATTAGAACATATGTTGAGTATTGTGGGGCAGGATTTTGACTGAAAACTTTCTGTGCAAAAGTGTACAGTGTTTTGAAGATAATTTAGTGAGATTTCTTCTTGGGCATCTTATTTTTAATGTTCTTAATTCAGACATCTTCAAATTGCTTTGCAAATTGTTTTATTTATAACTCATACTGCTGACAGCTTTCTTTTATCATTTTGTTGTCATCTACTGCTGTTTTAATTTTAGCTGATAGGTGTATGCATTTTCATCCATGCTGTGGAAATATTTGTAATATATGATTCATTATTTTTATGGTTTCATAATCAGTTTATAATTAACGATGATAATTGAACATCACCTCTTAAAAATGGCATGATGCGATCAAGCACTTGTGAAACATAATATTGTATGGTGATTACTTTAATTGAGAGCAGCTACAATGTAGTCTGGATCTTCCAAATCCTTGTTCCTTCTAGAGGGCATGTGAGTTGATATTTGGTCCCTGAAGGTATTCTCCACAGCTTAAGCCTTTTTGCAAGTCAGTTCCTCTCCTTTTGTTAGACCGTAAATCACAGAGGATCTAAGCAAATCCTTGCTGATAAGCCTCTGACACTTGGGAGGAAGGTGACTGCATGAGAACAGAGGTCAAATTATAGATCCCTTTAGGAAAGACACTCATAGTGGTGCTTTCAAACTCACAAAATTCTGTTATCACTTGCATTTACCTTTTTTGTTGGTGATAGATGGGTTCTTAAATGCTTATAAAACTTGGCTTATAGTTGTATTGTTCTCTCTCTCCCTCTCTCCAACAGTTCCTACCTGAGAAAGGCAGATAACCTCTTTTCTTGATCTGGGTTTGGTCCTGTTGTTCCAGTTCCATGTTAATTAATGCCACAGGAACACATCCGGAGATTTTGCTTTTGATGTACTGAAAGTCAAGCACACTTACTGCTGTATTGGGGTGATAATCCTTGCTGTCACAGAACTGACAGAATTAAAAGAAAAAAAAATGCCACAGGACTCATTACTGTGACATGTTTCAAATTATCCTAAGTCTACAAAATCCATCTGTCTACCTGTGTATAAGGACCATCTAGCAAGTGCTGTTATGAGAACCTGTCCATGAAACTACTCTAGAGTAGGGTGTAAAGTATCATGGAAATGATGTATTTATGCTTTTTCTCAGGCTGATTTTTGTCACGTTAAATTGCATTGCATGTGTCTTAATGGATTTTGCATCTGTCACAGAAAAGGTAGAGGGCTTCAGCAGAGGTAGGACCTCGTTTAGTTTAGCCATGTACCAAATATACCTTACTGAGAGGCATTGAGAAGACATGCAGTAATCATGTCAGATGCCTACTTAATAACGCTTAAGATCATACATAAAAATACACTAACATTTGTCAGAGTTAAATGCTTTTTAATGAAGGTTTCATAGGGTAATGTTTTGTTCCCAATTAATAAATCAGCCTTTGTGGTAATTTACTTCACCTTTATTAATCAGATTTATTTAAGTGCGTACAGAAGTAGAAGGTAACATACTGTTTCCTAGACCACAGCGTTACAGTGGCCAGCTATTTCCTAACAGCCAGTGTATCTGTACTGCTGAGTTCTGCATTTTTGCATATCCTACATAAGCTATGTAAACAATAGCAATTCGTTGTTCTTGATAGTATCAATGCAAATTAATTGTGCTGTAGTAAATAATGCAATTGTTGTATACCTGAGGTTTAAACAGTCCACATAATTTTCCTGACATTGTAATTCTGACAACTGTATTGTCTTCTCACTATATGTGCAGTTTTTGGCACACTGGTTGGTTTGCTGTGTCTCATTGCTACTGTAAGCCAAGAACAAAAATAAAGGTATGTGTTACTAAGACATTGCACTGCTGATTGCAGGTGGGGTCTGGAAGTAAAGACTTGGATTATGCAGAAGAAAGATAATAAACCCTTAGTATCAGTTTCTGGCAGCAGTAAGTGATCCAAATCTGCCTAGCCTGTCTATTGGTAATTTCTCATCCTCCATTGTTGTTAAATCACTCCTTGTCTCTATGCTACAAGGAAAGGTAAACTAGAAGCACTTAATTATGTTCTCTTCTTTGCTTAGCTCTGTTTTGCATTTCCTGTAGGGCCTGGAAGGCAGTCTGCATACTTTAGGGAAAGCCAAAGTTGGTGGTGGGGAGCAGCTCTCCCCCTCGTGACCCTTGTAACCTCTTAGCAGCAGTGCTGAATGCTACTGCAGCTCTCCAGCCATAGCAAGCAGTTGCTTCCAGGGAAGAGGGGAGTGACAAGGTTTATCCTGAAGTTTGCAGAGATGAGAGCTGCACAACATGAGACAGGAAGGACAACTGGAGACTATTGTCAAGCAGGTAGTGGAGGGTGGCTGTCAGGAAGCTTGGAGCTTGTGGCTTCCAGCAGCAGGAGAAAGAATCCTACTTCACTTGTAGACCCACAGTTTTGGTATAGTGCCCTGGGCAGGCGGGATGATGAGCAGTATCTGCCCAAGGATTTCTCAGAGCCAGCTGATCCTGAACTACGTGCCTGTGTGAATGGGGAAAGCCAGGCAGTAGCTACTGGAGGCTCCTCTCTGAAGGGGAGGGAGGCACCAACCTGCCAACAAAATACGATGCCCCCTGAAGCTGGAGGTGCTTAAACTGTATTGGGAATCTCGGGGTCCCTTGAAAATAGCCACTTGTAATTGCAGTGGGAGTGCTTCAGGATCCAGCAACATTCATTACCTATAGTTCATAAACCTGCCTTTCAAGCATTTCTTTCTCTCTCATGATAGATCTCAGCTGTGTAAAATTTTTAGTGGCATTATGCTCTGGATAATGACAAAACTTGTTTACAGAGATAAATTAAACCCAGACACAATCATAGTAATTGCTGTCTTGATTAAAATATATAAATCAAATCTTTCATCATAAATAGAGTAAAATCCCAAACCTGTTACTGGCTGCACTCTCTCAGTGGAGAGAGTAATTCGTGGCTTGCACATGCACCAGAAGCTTAAAAATGAAGACATTAAAATGCAGAATGCAAGGGTGTAATGACAGGAAGGCAATAGTCTGAAGATAGGGCAAAGCTGCAATAAATTTGTGTTCAAGAGGATTAGTCTGCTGGGCACAAGCAGTTTGTAGCAATGGTGGAATTTCATGATGCTCTGTAAAAGTTTAAGTGGAGGACTAATCCTACACTTGAAGCCGAGCTATTTATATCTCAGAGTAGGACATGTTTCTTCCAGGCTTTACATTCTTAAAATATGTTTCTGGTGTTGGGGCTAATTTATTTTGTTTGAACAGTGTCTTTTACCCTACTATCCTCACATTCTTTAGATTCTTTTGAATACAAATGATAAAAATGGGATTATGCGAAGACGACAAGCAAGTAGGTGGAGATATATCATTATGCTACTTAATGTCATTCATGTTAATACTCAGACATCCTGGGATGGAGTGAAGTCTGAATTGCTATCAGGCAAGATAAAAAATACTTGCAAAAAAGCAAAATTAACAATTTTTTTTTTTTTTTAATTGTGGCTTGGGGTTCAAGTTATCTGATCCACTGCTTAGTTTTTGTTTTGATGTCTGACTCTTTGAATACTGTATTCTTCTGTATAATCAAGTTATTTTTTGCCCCCATCCCCCTCTTATATGAAGGAAAACATTGATGTCCAGTATTTGCAAAACTGACTTCCTTAAGTAATACTGTCAGAGGTTTCCCTGCAGAGCAGCAGGTCTTGTAGGAACAAAGGGTAAAATATTTTGTGTTAAGTCACCAGTAAGCAGTTAAAGTAAGTTCAGGATGAGTGCAGGAATTTGAGTTATGGTTCAGTACTTAGAGCATTTCATCAAAATGCTGTCAAAAAGCTGTTCTTCAATTTTTGAAGGAGAAATAGAAGCAATATTTAAGACAGCAATGACAACTAAATGTGGAGATGATCAGAGCTAAACAATGCAAATTCTGTTGTGAAATGTTTGGAGGACAGGTATCAAATTTTAATATGTTCGTTCTTTTCTCTCAGTCAACAGAGCATAAATTATAAAAGTATATGAAGTGGGATGGATTATTTTTTTTTCCTTAAAAGCAAAATAAACTCTTCAAATCAAATGAAGAATAACCATGCTTCTCTTAACCACTGCAGAGCTGGGGCTCTAGTACACATTGAAAGTAGCTTTCATATCCCAGGTAAAACATCGCTGTTACTAAATCAGTGCTTATTTAACTTCAGTGGTATCAGGGAACTTAATCCCATAGCAACTATACAGTCCCATATCCCTGGTGTAGTTGGCCTAATTTTTCTGTAACTCAGAAGAATCTTGATGTTTAAGATTTAATGGAGTGTCTTGTAGGGAGAGTTATTGAAGGAATAGGGGAAGTCAGGAAAAAAGCATACATTTGAAAACAGAAAAAATGTACATTTAATCTGCAAATTTTTTTCTCTGTCTATACCATGACAAGGTTTACAGTTGTCATTCAAAAATTTCCAAGTAAAGCCTGAGTGCTTGATCCTAGCAGAAAATGTCAGCTCTGAACCTGCAAACATGCCCAACTTCTAGTGCTTGGAAGAGCCTACTTACAGGACATATATTTGAGCATTAACATTATTTGTGTTGTTATCATGTATTTTATATAATGTAGTGTGTACTTGGGAAATCTGTGTTCGGCAGTCTGTGTACTGCTTGTCTGGTCAACTTCTATTAAAAAAGAAGTTACAAGCGTTAGTAAAATTGGGAAGGGTCAATATGTGATCAAATAATAATGCTTTGACAGATCTAATTAGAAGTTGAAAGAAAATTGGAATATTGGGTCCT